TATATATATATAGCTTAGTATCGTTGATTTCACTGTAACAAAATTAGGTTTATAGGACGCCCCCAATCTCTAAGAGGCTGTTTACCTAAATACTTACTCAGTAAGTGCTTGGAAGCCAATACTATAATTTATTTTTTGGGTAAGATTGTAGTATATCAAAATGATATCGTATGCAACAATATATATGGTAAGCGCTTATCCGGTAAGAGTCGTAACCCTCACTTATATGGTATGACTCTCTATTCTTATCATCGCTCTTACCAGGTAAGATTCTTGAACCTTGTCATGTTCGTCCGGTGAGGAAAATTGTTCGGTAAGCACCTAGCGGGTAAGCGTTTAGTAAACGGCCCCTAAGTGTCCCAATAAACCGCTTTATAAGACTTAATTTATAGGATCAAAATTTAAAGCGTCATATCTAAAGGCATTGTAATAAGTTTATATGACACTTTTGGGCGTTTTAACAAGTTTTTGGAGGACATTTTTAATACAAAGTGTCGCATTAGCAACTTTATAGGACACTTTTGAGAAATTGTCCTATAAACTCAATTTTTTATGGGACACTTATTTTTATAGGACAGTTTTTCAAATAGTGTTTTATAAAGTTGATAATGGGACGCTTTATATTATAAGTGTCTTAAAAAACTTATTACGATGTCAAAAAACGTCATATAAACTCATTGCAACACATTTAGATAAGACACTTTATTTTTTTGATCCTATTAAACTAAGTCCTATAAAAAAGTTTATTAGAACGCTTAGAATTTGAGAGTGTCTCATAAACCCGATTTTGTTGTAGTGTTTATCGAGTAATCATAGAAAAATACATTTATGTATATAACTTTATATATGATATAGAGATTTGTCGTCATAAATCACGTCTTAGAAATGTCACGACCTTGTCGTGGCTTCCAAAACTTGAGGTTTGACATCACCGCGGGTTATTGGTTACAACGTTTGGAGCTTTTTTGAAAAATTGTGAAAGTTGAAGGGTTATTTTAAAAAGTTGTGTTAAAATATCCAAATGTTTCTACCACCTCATATTTAAAAAAAAAGTTTATATGTATCTTTTTTTGCTCTGGTTCGAGAAAGCAAAAAACCAAAGAAGGAAGAAGAGTCTGATTTTGTATTCTTGATTGGATTATTTGTTGTTGTTAACACTTTCATATATTTGTGATCATAAGGTGAGTTTTACTTTGAAAACATTATTTAATGTGTTTTTGGGTGAAAAAACCGTAAGGTTTCATACGTGAGTATGTGATGATTAGCATAAATTTTTTGATATGATTTTATTATCTGATTGTAATAAGGGTGGCATAATCAGAAGATGGGTATTTTTGGTAATAAGAGTGGCATAATCAGGAATTAAGTTAGGTATACTGGGATAAGGGTAGCATAATCAAATTCTGGAAAATGATGATCTTATGATCATGGGAATCTGTTATCGCATCAGTGTGAAGAGATGAGGTTGATTTCTATCGCTTGTGTGTGATGCGATGAAATTAGGATGAAAATTGAAGTGTTATTTGTCGCATCATTGAGATGCGACATGTTGAGTTTATCGCATTAGTATGGTGCGAGAAGTTATTGTTATCGCATATTTATGGTGCGACAAGTGTGTTTATTGCATCTATTGGATGCGATAAGTTGGGGTGATCGCATCCTTGAGATGCGACAAATTGAGGTGATCACATCCCTGAGGTGTGATAAGGGAGTTATAGCATGTGTATGATGCGACAAATTTGGGTTATCGCATCAATGAGGTAAGATAAGATTGGTGTATTATATATTTGATGCGACAAATTGGTATGTTTAATGAAACAATTTTGATACCACAATGGGTTTGATGCGATAAGATGAAGTCGTCTCATCTATATGATGCGACAAAGAGGTTTATTTTAATAAAACATTGTTTATTGTTATTTATACAAATATAGGCTTTCTAAAAGTGTTTTGGTGATTTTCACCTTTAACAGCAATCAAAAGGAATTTCTCATTAGACCTCATGGTTTAACTCTCATTTTTTGTTTTAAAATATGCATTATAGGTCGGGCACAATTGGAGAATAAGAAAAAAGGGAAAATGTGAATATATAATGATTGCTTTACATACGTGGATTTTGGAAGATGTTACATTACTTGTACTTGAGAACTTATTATGTTTACAAGTCTTGTACTGGGTTTATATGGAAAAAAATTGTAGCTTCTTTTGTAATGTAGCAAGTTGTACATTTGGAACCAGTGTGTAATTATTTGAATTTCAAGTTATATAAAATATGTGGATTATATACAAATGTAAAATGGGGTGTTACACGCTGCAACGCTCACGCTATTAAGAACCGGCCTTGGGGTTTTCTCATGCCTGGGTGAAAAGGCTAAATAATGCCCCCACTACTTAGAGTTTGATCCTACCAATTCTGACCAAAAGAATAATAAACTTTTAAATATTGTCATATGGTTTTTCAAATAATATTTTTTAGTTTTGTTTTATTTTAGATAAATAAATATTATCATAAAAACAAGACAAAAGTTGAAAAAAGAAATATAAGAAAGAAAACATGAATCGGTAAGAAAAGTAATAAAATTAAAATAGGAGAAAAAACATCAATAGGCATAAATAGTTTAAGGGGCCGTTTACTAAACGCTTATTCAGGTAAGTGCTTACCAAGTCAAATTACCTCACCGGATGAATATAGTACGGACCAAGAATCTTACCCAGTAAGAACGAGACAAGGACCAAGAGTCTTACCTAGTAAGTGAGAGTGACGACTCTTACCAGCTTGCCGCGTAAATTGTTACATGCGATGTCGTTTTGGTGGACTAAAATCTTACCCGATAAGTAAATAGTAGTGTTAAATTTTAACGGTAAACACTTATAGAGTAAGTATTTGGTAAATGGTCCCTAAGTGGTAATGAATGTTTAGTTATATTTGGGGTTCAAGGTTTGATTCGGTGTGGTCATTACTTTGAATTTTTTTTTTTTTAAGTAATAACACCATTTGGCCTAAATGATGCCCTTTGGAGTCAAAAAAAGTGCATGGAGTGAAGAAGAAGACGACAAGTTACGAGCATATATTCAGAGATATGAGCAACTTCTCGAGTTTTTGAACGTTTCGAATTTTCGATATTAAATTTCCGTTCGTTGGTTTTTGGTTTCTTAGTCTTTCAAGAAGCAGCAAGAATTGAAGGTTGAGATGGATGCATTATCTTCGTCCAGATATAAAACACGGAAATTTTACAAAAGAAGAAGACTGTCTTATTGTTAATTTGCATAACGAACTTGGCAACAAGTAAGTTCACGTACATATGGTACAAATTAATCGGGTTTTTTTCGTAATTGTGGATAGAGGTAGATCCTGAAAAGTTTCCGAGAAGGCAAAGGAATAATTAACGTAATATAAAATAAAGCAAACTTCATATGTATAAAAGTACGGTTTAATTAAAATGACATAAGTGGTTTTTTCCCATTTTTCTGTTGTTAGAAGAAGTATTAAAAAATAGCCAAAAGGATTCGATGTTATAACATGTAATGCTATATGTAATAACACTATTCGTAGCTTGTAACATTTTTTGTTAATTTAGGGGAGCGCGAGTCAAATTAAAGTTGTTGTAACTTTAAGACCACTAATTTTTTTTTCCCTTAGGTTGTTACTGAATCCGCACCTGACTGTAGATGTACGGGTCAATTTATGCTCACCTCGACTAATCCTATTATGCCCCGAAGATAACAGCCCGTGAGAAAACTTGAACTGATGACCTGTGGGACTCAAGTTTTATTTTGGAAAGTTGCTAATAAAACTTTCATCGTATTTTAATTCATAGATGGTCTGCAATGGCTGCAAAGTTGTCGGGAAGGAGCGATAACGAAATAATGAATCGTTGGAACACACATCTGAAGAAACTAGCGCAAGAAGACGAGATGATTGTGTTGGAAAAAGAACACGTTGGATCCATCAAACACCCGAAAGAAAATTCCCATATGGAAGTGTTCCAGGAAGGTGAAAACTTCTTCGCAGGATCTTCAGATTCGCCATGGTGTTCTTTGGGCACTGAGCTATTGTCGTATTGGATGAGTGGATCGGATTACATAGTTTCAAGCAATGTTGCGCTACAAACTTCTTATTACAAATCCGCTGGAGATTTTTGGAGCGAGTCGTTTTTATGGGACATCACGTCTTCGATTGATAATATGTTCACATTCGGATTTAATCGACGGTTATATGTCTCGTGATCAATCTTCATATCAGGGTGTTACGACAAGCGATCATTTCTCATGGTCAACGTTTGATTCATATTTTCAATACAACAATGAGCGCATAGATTGGTCTTTTGAAGTTGATGCTCGATCGAGATAGAAGAATACAAGTAACGAGAATCATGTGATGTTTAGATTTCTGCAAAATATCCTTCAGAAAGAATGTTTCAAAATAATATAAGGTCACTTATTTAAGTTAATAAAATATTTATCATGTGTCCATCATAACGGCGAATTCAAAAACTTACGTGACTGGAAGCCTTAAGGGTATAAGAAAATCCGAAATCAGTAACTCAACCGAACCACAACGGTTTCTGGTTATCCGGTTTGTGGATTTAACGGTTCGATTAATCAAATAAGTTGCGTTTCAATTTATACAATTTTCTTCTAGATGAATTGGTTTGAGCATATATAAAATTAACATTTGGTAAATTTATTTATCTTTAAACTAAAATAACAAAACCATCAGCTAACGTTATCATTGTAGCATGAATGCAAGAACTAACGGTAACAAAACAATCAATGTGCATAGGAATGACTGTCAAGCGAGGGAGTGAGGGGTTTAATCGAAACAGGTTGGGCCACTTGGGGGAACCGTCCTAAATGATTGGGGGAACTAAGAACATGAGTAAAAAACTCATTTGATTTTCCCGTTAAAGAAGCCCTTAAGGAAGGTTCCATCATATATACTGGTTTGATGAACCGTATCTGGCTGATAACGCCAATCGGAAAAAAGAAAAATAGAAATTCTCAAATTCACTTCGATTCACCGAGTACAGAACAAGTGGGGTATCGGTCGTTCCTGAGCTTTCTTTGAACTACGACTATGGCTATTCACAAATCAAAGCTACAGGCACACCAAATCAACCCAAAAAAAATGAAACGGAACAATTCAAACAAAAAACCCGAGAGAAATAACTACAATCAAAGAATGAATAATAAGAGCGTGAATGCAATTATGAGTCGAATAACAAAAATTTAAATTGTACGATGACGCAACAGAACTTTGTGCTCCGATTTTGGTTCTGGTTTCGGTCCCTTCGCCTTCTAGCCCAGCAGCAACGGCAGGAGGAACCGTGTCGGTGTTCAATGGCTTTGATGGGGAAACAGTTGTGTTATCAACGTCATAACCTACAAAACAACAAATACATCATCTCGTTATATCCTTGGTTGCTAAACATCGGTCACATACAAGTCAACATTTGACTTCCAAGTGTTGTAATATATACTCCCGTCCCGTGTAACTAGAGATGCACAAAGAAGCCCGAAGCCTGGCCAAAAAATCCTGCGCCTAGGCTCAGGCCCGGGGGGAAAGCCCAATCAGGCCAACAATTTTTCAAGGCCCGGTTAAATCCCTTCCTCAAAAGCCTAATAAAGCCCTGGCCCGGGGCTTATTTGCTTTACTGAAAACAGGCTTGGAAGGCTCAGGCCTTGTGCAACCAAACCGACCCAGTAAACCTTTGTGGAAAGCAGAGGTCAGGGGTCAGATGTACCCAGACATGTCCTCTACCCTAAAGAGTAGAGCGGTTGTCTCCATGAAAATGAGTCATAACAGGCACTTACAACTAGATTTCTTCCAGCCAAGAACAAGTTTCTCTCTATCAAATACAATACGGTAGCCGGTCATGAAGTTTTCTGCAAGAAAAAGATTAACATCAAATTGCGAAGAAACCGTATAAAACTACCAACGGTTAGGGAGAAAACATCAAGGTACAAAAGTTGCAACTTGGTCAAAGTCAACATGTGAGTTGAAGTCGCATCGCCTGTTTCTGTGCAAGTAATAGATACAATTCGCGTATGGATATAATTTGGAACCAGGCGAGTTGTGTTAGGTGATTTCCGTCAAGTCGTATATTAGATCTCACGAGTTTTATTACTCCCTCCTTCACAAAATAAATGTCCAAATGAAAAACGCACTGTGTTTTACACTTTTTATTACTCCCTTTGAACTAATTACCGTTCTAATCATCATTTTGCATATTTTAGTGTTCTTTTTTACATTTTTAGCATGCATACCAGTTAATTCACAACAAAAACTACAAGTATGATGGTTAATATTTGTAGCATCACCAGATAGGATGCCTTGATTTTAAGATGACAACACTTTTATCTACAGTTTCTAAGACTATCGAACACATAAGCAACAGAAAAGTCACAAGCCAAAAATTGAAAGACTTACGTCCAATTATGCTCATTTCTTCGTTCTTGATAACTGCCAGACAATAAATAACCTCTGGCTGCAATATACAATAAGCAAAATATAGTAAGAACTATGGTAAATCAAACGAAGCCAGGATATCCCACATGGAGGTGGGGTCTGCGGAGGGTAAGATGTACGCAGACCTGACCTCTACCCCAATGAGTAGAGCAAATGCTTCCATGAATACCCCCGGCTTGTGAAAAGTGTGACGAAGAGACAGATATTATAAAGATAGAACTACGGATGTTTTCAAGAAAATGAAATAAGATAGAAAGATGAGACTTACGTGCGTGGGGAGAACAATTACAGGATCATAGATGATAAATTGACCGTCGCCTTTCATGGTCAAGCAAATATCCGGGATCAGACTGGTATTTGCATCAGGACTACACAAGTGATATGAAATAAAAAAGAAAATAATTTGGTTAAAAATAAATATAAAACAACGAAGAACAAGTACGAAATGGGACTAGAAAGAAGACCTCATAGCATAACAATATTCAAAAGGGATCCTTTTATCGGTTAGCCGTCGTGAATCCTTTGTTTGTGCATGAAACTGCATAAAAAGAGCAAAAAGATTTTTCCTTCAAATTTACCACCTCTATTGATAAGTTGAACTCAAAAAAAAATTCAACCCCATGTAAATGCGGTTCTTCTTAATACCTCATATACGCCAATTTATAAATAATGCAAGGGGCGAGAAAGATCAACAGTCACATCAAAAAAATTCAGCTGCATTTGACCAAATCTTGCATGAAGTAGTTGTGTACCCTATGAGAAAGACTGTATTAGGGTGCGCTTGGTACGCGAGACAGGATGGGACAAGACAAAACAAAAATTTGTTGTCCCACGTTTGGTGCAACATTAGACTCAGGCAGGACAGGACTAGAGATGCACAAGGCCTGAGCCCGGGCCTTTAAAGCCCGTTTTCAATGATTAAAGAAAAAGGCTGGGGCCGGGCTGGGCTATGAGGTGAAGGAGCGCCCAGTCGGGCTTTTTCAGGCTGGACTTAATCGGATTTTTTCATGCCAGCCTTTTTGGACCGTGCCTACCACCAAAATTTTGGCCTGATCCGGCTCTGAGGCCTGGCCCAGACCACGCTTCAGGCTTGGGCTTTCTTGTTCATCTCTAGACAGGACTAACAAGTTTGGTAAATTACTAAACTACCCATGTCAAACTAAAACCCAAAATCCTTCCACAATTCTTCCACCCGCTTACCTCACCCTCGCCCGCTCAGTCCTGTCCAGTCCCGTCTGTGTACCAAACGCACACTTAAAGTACAAATATTCAGCAGGAAGCACCAAAAATACATGTTGTAAAACACTATTTCCCACATGGAACAGCTTCATGCAATATTTGAATTTGTTCAAAACTTGTGTAGCAAACACTGATGCAACAAATAAGATAGGTGAAGGAGGTACCAGAATAATAATAAACCTAAAGTTTTAATCTTTTCGATTGCTTACCATCTTTGTCAGCCTTGTGTAGTGTGGCTCAACAAGATAGGTGAAGGAGGTACCAGAATCGAAAAGCGCAGTGAAACTCGAGTTGATAAGAGCTGCACCAACACGAAGTTGTGTTGCTGTGATAGTATATGTTGGGCTGCATATGATAAACAAACTTTAAAAGTGAACTACGGAGGATAAAAATTGCAACTAAGGGGTGCTGGTTGTTAAAAGAAACTTGGCAAGCCCAAACCAACCAAGCTGGTTCATTTGATTGTGTAAGCCAAGCTAGGGATTGGTGTGGCTCAGGTTCAGCAACTCAATGAGCTTAGCGTATTGAATGCGGTGATCAAACCAAGTATATAAGAACCATACTCATTAATATTTGTTTCATCCTACTTGTCTCGGTTTTCTCAGATACTATGAAACAAATTGATGGTAACTTTTTAGAAATAGTCATTTGTAGTTTTATTTTAAGGGTTTACTTTAGTTTTATATGAGTGCATATTACCTGAGCCAAAACTAAAGCCTATAGGAGCCAATAAGATCCAAGGTTATACAAGCTTATATGAGCCTATAGAAAGGATAGCTAAGCTGAACCGAGCATCAGCTTTCCTAACTTGGCAAGCCAGAGGCAGAGCTCAAATCTGTCTATATTTTCATGATCTGAGCAAGCTCGTGCTCGGCTTTATCCAAATACACGCCTAATTGCAACAAACAATTTAGAGCCAAAAGGAAAGAACTTATGACTTGACTTAATCCTCAAGGCCCGTTTTGGTTTGCGGGATTTGGTGGTATAGTGAAATTGGATTCCATTCCAGTCCCGTGTTTGGTTCAAAAGGAAGTCCGGGATTCGCTGGATTTCAGTGAAATCCCACAAACATTGGAGTTAGAAATCCAATGGGGGTAGTTGGTATTTCACGGGTAGGATTTGTTTGTAATTATGTTTTAAAGTATATTAAGAACATCCATTTTGTAATAATCAATTAATAAAAGGTAATTTAAATATTTTTATAATTAGTTGTATTTTGTTTTTAAAAATATCGACAAAAATGGAATTCAATTCCATTCCAATACTACAAACCAAATACACCAAAGATTTCAAATGCTTCCACGATATCCAAATCCCTCAAAAACATTCCGTCAAACCAAAGGGTAGCTCAACTGATGAGACCTGGGTTTCCTCCTCAATGTTCACCGCTTTGAGCCTGGTCAGGGCCACTAGAGGTTTGTCTGGCTGTTAACTTCAAGGCCCCACAGATTATAAAAAGAAAGAATTTGATTTGACTTACTGTGATGCATCAAAACTAAACGGCGTCTCTTCTTGATAGATGCTGCCTTTATCACCAAAACTAATCCTGCCAGATCCATCATGTCCAAAACACATAGAGAAAGAATCTGCTATGAAGCGTTCTTTTGCTAACAAACTAGGAACTGATATTTTCTCCATACCAAGCCCAAACAGACCATTTGGGGCTGCAATATGTAGAAACGAACCACTTTGTACCTGCCCACATCTGCAAATTCCGAAAGCACAGTTGTAATCAAGCACCAAGATTTACAAATAACTCATTATGTATGCATGTATGTGTAATAATCACATGTGTATGTATGTGTATATACACATGTGTATGTGCGTATATGTTTGTATAATGCTTACTGCTTCCCGTTGAATTTCCATTGTTGAATATATAGAATCAATTTTACCAAGTTTGAAAAAGTAAGCATATTATAGAACGATTTTTTTATATCTTGCCTCGGTTTCCAATAACTGAAATTTGTACTTTTTGAATGGTTTTGCTTGAATTTTATCTAGGACTATGTATTTCATGTAAACAAAATCCTAGCAACCTCCAAAAAAATTGGACAACTTTTTCAAAAGCCAGAGGTCTTCATGGAAACAACTCTACCCCCTGGGGTAGAGAAAGTGTTTGCATACATCATACCCTCTCCATACCCTACTCCGAGTGGATATACTGGGTATGTTTGGTTTGGTTACAGTAGACCAAGGTTAGAAAATAAAAAAAAGCCTCGTAAAAACCCAATCCGTGAATCGCGAAGGTTTCAATGTGTAGGTGGTTTGTAATTTTTCCTAATGTAAACTTGGTTGTTGGGTCCAACATAATGCAAAAACCGCAACCTATATGAACAAATTTAGAATAGGACTGTAAGTCCAAGTACGAAAACCTTTTAACTCTTTTAGGTAGAGGTCAGGTCTGCAGGCATCTTCTCCCCTCCTCCACCCCAACAACCGTGGAGCGGGTGGGATCTACTGGGCATTGTTTGGTCTCGTTTGGCTAGTCTCATGTATGTATATCCCTAAAATTGGGAAGATATACTTGTAACCATGTGCATAAATAGGGTTATTTCTAATCATTAATAAAGTATACAATCAAGAACATAAAACGCAATCAATGAGCAAGACCATTATTAAATACTTAAATATGGACACACAAGTGTTATCAGGAATTTACCCAAAAGTGACAAATGCATTAACAATTTTTCGGTTGCCATCATCTGTTTCCAAGTGAAGAAAATCCTCCATCAAGATTCCTGAAGTTGAAGTTTGAGACGAGACGTAAGATGACGAATAGGAGCACGTGCTGACTGTTCCGCTTCCAGGACAGCTGGCAGTACACATCCGGTGGTTGCAAGTAACCTTTTTGCCCGTTGATGATTCCTTTGGGTTGTATATGCTCATGTTAAATTTCTGCATATATATGAGATCAAATATATCAATTGCATTATAGTTATAAAGAAATGGACCCAAACTTCTATCTTGGAAATCCCACATCGGCTTCATATAGACCATCAAACCTGTATATGTATGTAGGAATCTTCCTTCTCTCTATAAGGGCTCTTTTAGAGAGATTCAAAGGGAGGCGAAGGATCGTGTGAGAAAGAGAGTTAAAGTCAGAAGCATAAGAAGGGATCTGGACCCTTGATCACCTTTAATCTCAACCCATCCATGAATCGCGCTTGATACGGGGATTGATCCAGTGGATCTCGGTGCATCTCATCCTAATGTGCATCCAAGGGTGGAAATCCCTTCTTACGCTCCTCACATTAACTCTCCTTCTCACCAGAACCCAACCTTTCAAAGGGATTCTAAATATCCTCACATGGTATCAAAGTCAGAGGGCGGGTTCCGTTAGGAACCTAAATTTCATTAGGAACCCGAGAACCGCCTGCAACACAAGATGAATATTCATCTATTGCGTATCACTCATCCAGGGACTCGACACACTCATTCGCCTCCATTCTCGGGGGCACTGTCTAGACTCCATTTCACAAGATTAGAATTTTTTTTAAACATGATACTTAAGAACGACATACATTTCCAATATAACGCTATTAACATTTAAAAGTTTCATATTGTACTTAAATCAAAATTAACATTATATATTCCTAAAGTGGAAATGTGTCTCTTTTTCATAGAACGAACTATAAAAGGAACGGTATCCTAATAAAAATCTCAGCAGAAGTTGTCATTTTTTTATTAAAACAAAGAGTTATTAGATCTAAATTCTTCACATGTGAAAAAAATGTAACCTTTCATGCAAATAACTTGACTAAATCATGAAAAGAAACAAAAATGATAACATACAGCGCTAAAAGGTGTGTTATCAATTGAGGCACATCTGCTGCACTCGCATGGCACCCAAAATAGATCACTCCCAGTATCAAGCGCCACCAAAAACTTCTGGCCCGGTGTCCCCAGAGAAACCGTTGTGTAATGCAAACTAATTAAACCAGAAAATACATTGTGTTAATAGAAGGCGTCATCAATAACATATTCTTTTTTTGTGTAATTATGCATTGTGTTGTTTGATAAACAAGTTGAACACAACAACCATACGTCACTCCTTCAAAGGGTACTCCATCTTTGGGGGAAAAACTCTCAAATAACTTTCAACAATCAAATGAATTGTGATCAGACTCGGAACTTGCACAAAGTTTTAAATCAAACAAACCCAGTATATCCCACTGAAAAGTAGCGTCTGAGAGGGGTATCATGTATGCAGGCCTCACCTCAAACACTAGAATCGAGAGGATGTTTCCGTTAAGACCCTTGTGTACGATTGATACATCCTGTTCTCAATTGAGAGAACAACGAGAGATAGAAAAGAATAGAGAGAATTTTAGTGACGGAAAGTTCTTTACTATTTTGATGCCTTTCTACAGGAGTAGGAGTTCCTATTTATATCTGAAAACTACAATCAAACAGAAAACTAAAAGGAGAGTTTGGTTATAACAACTCTAACTCCCTTATCAACGATGCAAAGGTATGTGCAAGCAGGAAATATAACAGGTAATCAAGAAAAATAACAGGTAAAATAACGATTTGATGGCGTGCAGGCAGACAATGTAATCAGGTAAAACATGTAATACAAGTAAAATAACAACTCAATGGTGTAATCAGGCACAAACTAATCTGTTTTCAAAGGAAATGAAAAAGGACATCATTGTGACCAAAATGGCATCTTGTGGAACTCCAAGGGGAAGGCTGCATTCACACAACTTCCTTCCCAAAAGTCACAAATCCATGGAGTTTTGGTGCACCGAGTTTGGTGGGGTCACAATGAAACCAATGATAACTACACTAACTGCTAATATCTAAAACAATGCATATTAATTTGAAGTGGAAAAGAGAACAGTTTTGCAATCAAATCCCAATGGGGACTGGTTTAAACCCTAATCAATGAAAACTGGACAAAAAGAATTCACATTCAAGATGATAAACAAGAAAGCTGGAACAGAAAAAAACCCTAATCAATAACTCAAAGACAAGCAATAACGATGATGAATTAGCAAAATACATACAATCCCAGTGATTTGATGCGTAAACTGGAATTCCCGTCGGAGAAAGTGAGCCGTTGTTCACCGGAATCTGATAATCCCCGGCCTCGGAACACCCTGTCGTGGTCGGCCAACTGAGAATAGAACTCCACACTACCTGTGGACGGAAAATCACCGGCGGAGAGCTTGTTAATGCTTTCCGACCACTTCTTCACCGGCTCGGAGAACCGGTGGTGCATCTTCAACGTAAACACACTCGCATAGCAGTTCTTTATGAAATTATTGCCCCAAATTGAAAGAAAAGTGATCAAGAAAACCAAAAACGATTGCATTTCTACTTCTTTGAGGTGGGTATTGTCATTTAGTTTGAAATAAATTGAGGGTTTGTCAAGATCTGTAAATCGGAGGTTGAGAAAAGATATCGGTGGGGTAGTGACGGTTGAAGAGAACTATTGATGTTCTTATTTTACTTCGACTTCACTTGAAAGGATACTATGATTGCAGTTAAATCCTCAAATCTTTCTGAAAATACCCCTAAATGTAACTTTTTTATCAAATATTCTTCAGAAAGATACGGATTGAATCAAGAAACGCAATGAATCGAATGAAAACCCAGCAGAATCGTAGCAAATGTTTGTGTTTTTCATCGTAATTTTTTCTTATTTTTTGCTTTGATTGATTGATTCCTTGTTAACCGATGTTGTCGAGAATTTAAGAATTTATTGGACCGTTGTCATGATGTTTCTGATACGTTGGTTGTCTCGTACCTTTTGACCCACCTTCATCAACCATGGATGCATATATCAAGTAACCCGTTACCCAACCCGACAACACAATACAAAAATTTGTTTTTTTACACGATATTAGATTGGAATTAGGGATGAGCAGCGCAACCGGGTACCCACTTGCAGAATCAGAACTACCTTGAAACTGTCGGTTTTGGAACTGGAACCGATATGAGTGGTTCCGGTTCCTAAAATATGGAACTGATTGAGAATGGTTCCGGTTCTCAATTTTTCGGAACTGTTACCTGCTGGGTACCCGTAGGGACCGGTTCCGGGACCGGGTAAACGGTTTTTTTCAATAAAAATTAATTTTTTTAATAAATTTAAATTAGGTCAATAACTTAGAACTATAGATTCAAAACTTGAGATAAAATTATTCGTATTTTTTCAAATTGTGTGTTTAATTGGATTCGTATTATGTCATTGTTAAACTTTGAACGTTTACAATTATAGTATGTAATCGTTAAACTTTCAACATTTATTATTAGTCTATTATGGTTTGTAATCGTTAAACAATATTTGTAACCATTATTCCGTATAATTTGTATTCTTGTTATTTATTTAGTATTTTGGCAATGTTGTATTTTTTATTTCTAAATAAAAAATTTTAATATTTTATGAAGCGGGTACCCGGAACCGGTTCCCGGCGATTCCAGTTCCGGTTCCAAAAATTCAAGAACCGCTCTAACCGGTTCCGGTTCCAATATCTCAAGAACTGCCGGTTCCGGTTCCTATCAAATTAGGGCAGGTACATGTCTATGCTCACCCCTAATTGGAACTAATCAAAGACATGAGTAATGCAAAAAATGCATTTTTCGGATGAAAATAAATGAGATGAGACAAGATTGGTAAATTACTAAACTATACATGTTCAATTATCCCTAAAACATTTCACACTTTTTTTACGCGTCTACCTTACTCTCATCAATCCAATTTAATACTATTTGCATGGCAAACGCATCCTAAAAGATGGAATGGTTTTCTAAGAGTTTTTGAAAGTCAGATAGTTCTAACGGCATGGTCGTTTTAAAAGTTGAATAATTAACCGTTTTCAAAAGTGGAATAATTTTAGTAATGACTTTTAAAGTTTAGACATCTGACTAAAGTTAAAGTAAAAACGGTTTGTTATTTTCTACGAGTTGCGATAATCAAGATATGATCATTTAATCTAAATCCGCAGCCATAACGTTAGCCACTCTTTTTGGGTTGGGTTTAAGGGGTCATTTAACAAACATTTATCGGTAAAATTCAATACTATCACTTACTAACAGCGTAAGATTTTAGTCAACAAAAAGGGCATCATATGCAACAATTTACCTGGTAAGAGCTATTGCCTTCACCTACCGGATAAAACTCTCGGTTGTTGTCTCGCTCTTACCGGGTATGATTCTTGATACTTGTCATATTCACCTGGTAAGGTAATATAACTTAGTAAATGTTTACTCAAGTAAGCATTTGATAAACGACCTCTAACTATAATATATTTTACTTTTTTATGGTATGTAATATAAGACGATGAAAGAGGTGGATGGTATACAAAGCTTCTTGTGCCATTTGTAAATGGTGGGACATGAAATCGTGATGCTCGTAGCGATTGTATTCCCGAAAAAATTGTGTTTGCGTTTCATTTTTCATTTATTTATACGAGATATCGAATCCTAAATCAAATCTTCGATTACAACATCATCTCTAAACGTCTTCCATCCCATCCAACCCATAGTTGTTTGTCGATAGATTTGCATAGTTGACTTTATGAAACCGGATAACGACTGTTTGGGTCCTCCACGTCGCATAATAGCATTAGAAAATCAAAATCTCGACCTTAAATAGGCACCGAATTGATAGGGGTATTTCCGACTTTATGTATTAGCTTTACCGTAAACAGGTTCCTACGCACCTTAAACAGAACCTCTACTCTTTGAGACAGATGACAGATTTATGTACATCTTACTTTCAAATTTTACTTTTGATTGAGATATATTTGGGAAAATTAGGGGAAATAGTCATTTTTAGTAACCAAATTCATCTCTTAGTCATTTCTCTTTCCTAGATTATTACTACATTTGCAAGTGGCACCTTCATAAGTTGCGGAGGTAGCTAAAAGACAACAAAAATTCACGTTTTATCCACGCACCTCCGCAAGTGGGTGAAAAGTGAAAAACAATCGTTTTTTTAACTCCTCACAAGCTGAGGAGATGTCACTTGCAAAGGTAGTGATATTTTATAAATTTCCCTAAAGAAATGGCTAAGAGATGAATATTATGATCATTCCAGGTACATAAGAGTTTGATTGATTTGTTATTTTTTTCATTTGACTTGTCAAAAAATTTAGTTTTGTTTTAGACAGTTCATAGTTTGTTTTCTCTGTAAAAAATCCTGAAAAATGAGGTTTTTAATAAAATTATGTAAAATAAAAGATATGTATTATATTGATTATAGTGTTAATTATATATAGAGTTTGATTTTAGATTAAATAAAAAATTGATTTTATATATATATAACTATAATTTGCTTCTATCTTTTATACCC